TGGGGCTTGCATGCAGTGGCTGCTGCCACATAATTGGAGGGCCGTGATGGCGGAGATGGACACTGCCTCCAAAACCTCCCGCTGCCACTGTGGAGCCGCACCTGGAGCTGTGTGGCCAGCCATTGGGCAGCAGCGGCAGCGTGGCGGTGGCTGGGTGGCACACAGCCATTCCCACCACCACCCTGTGCTGCATCGCTTCCGCCAGCTGCACAGCTCTGAGCATGGCTCTGCGGCAGCAGCGGCTGTCACCGCTGGCACGGGAAGCCCCACAGGCAAGTGGCAGCGGCAGTGGCTTCCCGTGCCAGCAGTGACGGCCGCTGACTCCACAACCTCCCGGAGCCGCACTTGGAGCTGTGTGGCTAGTGGCAACTCCACAATGGTGGGGCTGGGAATGGCTGCGTGCTGCCTGGCCACCACCATGCCACTGCCGCCAGCCACACTGCTCCAGGAACGGCTCTGTGATGGCAGGTGGGAGGTTTTGGAGGCAGCGGCCTTCACCACCATCATGGCTCTCCAAGTAAGTGGCAGCAGCTGCTGCATGTAAGCCCCCTCTACTAAACAAATGCTATAAAGGATTCATAAACAGATCCCCAGAAATGCATAAAGGAAAGTGGGAGGGGCTTACTCAAGAATGATAAACCCCAAAGATTGTGTTTTCTACATAGGAAATAGGGGGACGGGTCTTTACCCCCTTCAGGTTCATATAGGTGAGCAGGGAGATGGGCTTAAATATACTCAGAAGGCCAGGGAACCCTAGATCTTGAGCATTAGATGGACTCATGCCTATCTGTATGGCTTAAATCTGTTGAATACTGGGTGTGTCACATACACTTTACTGCACAGTAAACTAATTTACTGCACAGTAAATCATCGCTGTCTACATGTGTGCAGTAATTGGGCCACTGTAAACTAATTTACAGTGCCATCAGATAGTACCTGTGTCAGATGGGACTATCTGACAGCAGAGTAATTTACTGCACTTAAACACACGTGTAGACAGTGACGTTGGGATTCGTTTACTCTGGCTCAAATTGTGCTGGAGTTTATTCAGTTCTATTAATTGCACATGCAGACATGCTGACTGTGTTTAAAATTGCTCTCTCAAAAAGGTAAATGTAAGTAATTGCAGCTTTTTGATGCCTCATCAGTACTATGGTTTGATTCTCCAGGCATAAGCAAAAATAGTTGATAGAATGTGCCAAACTTAAGTATTTTTCCCCTGAGATCTGTATTTCATTAGTATCTTGCTTAAATATTGTCAAATTTAGAACACAGTTCTTGCCTCACATGCCTAAAAGGCCTACCAAATTTCAGGACAATCTGCATAATCATGAGGATTGTAAAGCATTTAGAGAAGTCAGATTTTAAATAGAAATTATTCTCAAACATTAACTAGAGCAGAACTGACACTACTATAAAATCACAGAAATATAAGGCTCGAAAGAACTACACTGAATCTTGAACAGTGATCGCTAGCTCACCTTGACAAACCTATTTCTTAAAGCTATCAGTGAAGAAGATTATACTGTCATTGTAACAATTGGAAAGCTTTTTCTATTATTCCACCTAAATATTCTTTCCCGAAAAGTAAGCTGATTTTCTTCCCTCCCCAGTGGCCATGGAGAAAATTTGATTATTGTCCAATTTACAGAAAACTTCCTATGTACAGAACACTTATGTATGCTATCAATCTTTTTTCAGATTAAATGAACCCAGGTCCTTCAGCCTTCACCATAAACCATATTTTCTAATCCTTGTTGCTCTCCTCTGAATCTAGATTTCCAGCGTGTCTGTATCTTTCTTGAAGTGTAGTTTTGAGTCGAATAATTCCCTCCTGTCTTTTACATATGAGTCTGCTTTAATAACTCCACAAATAACTCCTGTCCATTAACTTTTATATGATAACCTCAGAGCGTGAAACCATACTTAATTTATCATGTTCTACAAGAGGGGTTGACAACCTATAGGGACCACCTGTCAACCCCTCTTGTAGAACATGATAAATTAAGTATCATGGGATGGATTCAGGAACATGATAAATTAAGGATCATGGGATGGATTCAGTAACAAATCCTGCCAGATGGAAGAAAATGGAAAAGAATTTTGAGGCCACAGATCAGTCTTGGCCTTGAGCAGGGCCATTCTGTCCTACTGCCAGAAAACGTTGCTAACTGCTGATCTGTAACTTCCTTTTCCATCAGCCTTTTGCCTAACCAGGTATCTTGATTTTGCATTTGTGTATTTGATTCCTCCTTCCTACAAATCACACTTTGCATTTGTTATTCAGTTGAGACTTGTTAGAGCATAAGAACTGCCATGTACTGGGCCAGATGATAGGTCCATCTTCTTTCCTCACTACACCATCACAGCATTCCTGCCAGCTCTACATATTTGTGGTCTGTACCATCCATCATTCCTTTGCATCCTGCCTGGATACCATGTGGCAGGACACCCTTGGTGAGGAGGAAGGTCCCAGGTGGACAAGCATATACTGTATCTTGATTGTTTGAACTACCTGCAACTGGCAGCTTCTCCACAGAGCTGTTGCCACGGGCATGTACATAGCATGCTTCACGGCTTCCCCTACCACCTTCCCCTTCTGCAGACAGAGTGAGACCCTACCTGAAGCCCCTTCACCACTTCCTCTAGAACCTCCTGTTGGGGCTCTGGCTGCACTACTCAGCACACCTTTTCATTTACGCATCCCTATCTGCAGCCCCACCAAATCCCAGGACCTCCTGGTCTACCCCATCCAAGCTAATGATATGCCTGACCAGGAAGGAGGCTCTAGCAACTGGGATCCCCAGGCACTGCAGAGCTGTTTTCCTGTCCCTGGTCCCATCACACCTCTGGGAAATGTCACTGGGCAGCATCCACTGGCTCCCTGGCAGTGGCATACCAATGGGGGGGGGGGG